ACAGTTATCACGGCGAAGAACCCTTGCCTTGGGACAGGCGCGCCTTATACACACATGATACCCGCTGGCGATCATTCTTGGAAGAACGGATGCTCTTGGTGTTAGTCGAATTCGCCGACTTCTTCTGTTTGGAACCAGGTTAATACCGTTCTTAACAACCCCTTACCATAACATACATAATGAGTGTTCCATGTATCGTAATGACTCGAACCGAACAAACATTCTAAGCTAACTGCACTTCGAAAATTTGGACTTAATTATAGGTTCGATCCAAAGACAGGCGCTTGAACTGGGAATGTTCAGCCCTTGCGTCACAGCTACGTGGTATAACTAGTCTCACATTACGCGACCTCCCTACTGACGTTGACGAACGGTCCTTCTTGCGACATATGTAGACTCACTACAAAGCTCGCATATAACCTCCTCTGGCCATAGCGGACCTTCGTGTACACATCCTGTCGTCGTCTAAATATGTTAACACCTCTGTCCTTACTTAACCGAGTGTTTGTGTCCTTTCGAAGGCAGTGTCTTATTACTCACTTCAACTTTAGGGTTCTTTTACTGTTCAAACTTATGAACAGGCTTTTTTTTTTTTTTTTTTTTTTTTTTCAAATGTCTTGTATGTGTCGTTCTTCTTGCATGGACTTCTAGACGGACTCGCTCACGTGGCTTGCGACGAACCTTTAGCAAACCACACGGCAAGCCTAACGGACAGCTGGTAAGTTTCGGTTTCTATAAAGATACCATTTTATTCGTTTCTCAATAAAATGTCAGTTCCTATGAGTGGCACGTCTTTTCTTCGGTAATCCCGCCATATAAAATCTACGTGAGAAGTCGAAGAATGAACTGGGTCGAAGCGTACCAACGACCCGCCGGAACGCAAAGCTTCGATGATGCTTACTTCATCTTAAACGATCTCCGTTCCCGTCGAGGTATCTTCCTGCGCTGTGCTGCGCATGTGGTGCAGATATGTATCCAACACAGTCTACTATTTTAATCTATCTGTGTTGGTTAATGAATGTCCCCTAAAAAATGGCAGGATTTGTATTACCATGGTCAGTTTTATGCCCAAGTAGGTCGGGTCCTCGTAAGTAATTCACTTCATCTGCCATTGTTATACATACTCATGTGTTGTCTTTCAGAAAGCCAATGGCACGACGTTGAGCGAGGCGACTGTTTCCAATGCGATCATCAAGGCACGAGGTTCACATGCTTGAGCGCCGGACGTTACAATTTTCAAGATGTCGACAGGTGGCGCGACTTCTGCATGTCGAGAATGGATGGTTTTATTGGTACGCAGTTTGGATTGAGGCAGGCATGTGACGCTCTGACCGTAGACAACAGATGCGAACTGGTTGTCTATAGTTTCCCTGTGTTTACATATGTAAATTCTGTACCGAGCAGGGCGTGATCGTAACGAACAGCATCGAACATGTTCCTTATTGTTTGATACAGTCTGAATTAAATTTAGCGGGTCGTCCTTTTCGTAAGCAAATACCAACATCAACCAACAGTTGAGAAATGTTGGCATGTGTTCGATCTCGCTCATGTTGATTCTCACTGGGATTGAACCCCCGGCGGGTCGAACCATTTGTGAATATCTCAGCATGGCAACGACCCAGGTTACCACTACCCCATTAATGCGCACTTGTGGGATTTTGATTACAACTCTAGACAGGCGATAAATTCCCACAACCAACTACGAAGCCATCTGAACCTGAACTAATTCTCATGAAGTTAAAGTGCCATAAATCATGTTTGGGGTGAAAGGCATACTACACATATACATATGCCACTGCTACTGGTGTCGCCGATGCAACTCATACCTACAACTACGACAAGGAAGGGCGGACATGCACTACACCCCAAGTTCGCCGCTGCTCCTCCTCCTCGCCAGTGCCTCACGGTCTCACACACCGGGCTGCGTACTATTAGCTGGTTGCTATGGCTGGATCACGAACAGCGTCGGGGGACACCCCTGCTCGAGCGAGTCGCAGTGCGCTCAGAAGGTTGTGGGGCGCTTCGCCACGAAGGTGGAGCCTTTTGCGGCGCCCGCGATGCGGTGGGGCAGCGGGAACCTGAGGTGGGGTGCCAAGAGCTGCTTGATGTATGGGCGGCGTACGGCCGAGGCGTTGGGGAGAGTAGTCACGCGGAGAATCTGTCGCATAATGAGGGTTTGTCAGTCCAAGGGCCACCGTGAAGGAAAATAATGATATTGAGCTTGGGGGTACGCACGTGGATGGAGCGAAAGCGGGCACGGTGACGGGCAGCCATGTCCTGGTAGAGCGCTTTGACAGCATCGGCACGGGTAAGTTCACGGAACTGCAGAAAAACCAACCGTAAGCAAAGATCAAGTACGTAGGGAGACCAGGCACGACGGACCTCCTTGTACATGTTGTGTGTGCCAGAACGGGAGTCGTAGCGGAGCCAGATGCCAAAGTTCTTCGGCTTGAGGGGACGAGGCTCAGTGATGACATTGACGCCAATGACTTCGCCGTTGGCCTTCTTGACCTTCTTCAGTTGGCGGAGGAAGTACCAGAAGCGGGATTTCGCGACGACCTGTGGCGAACGCAGTCAGCATGTAACAAATTGCCACGGTGAGTATAATCACCTCATTCGGCGCGAAGATGCGCATGCGATAGATTTTTGGGGTGGGCTCAGAGGCCGTCGGGAGGTGGCGGCCAACAACTTGGTATTCTTGCAGCATCGCGTCTGTCTGTCTGTACAGCTAACTTGAGCAAAACCTCCACGCAGGCGGGCACGGACACAAGCCAACAGTACTACAAGTGCAATATCCGCGCTCGACAGTCGCCATCCACGGCATCCGCGCACTTGACGCAGCATCCATGCACGCCAGATGGTGCAGACAGTGAAATAGACGTACCTTGAGGGAGTGTCTGTCGCGTCTCGCGCTTGGTCGGTCGATCTTCGTCGTCGTGCCCGTCCTCCACAACATTCAACTCTGAGTTATGATCGATCGTTGATCCGCATCATCTCTGATCGCCGTCAATTATTCCCGTGGACATGACTCACAACTCAAGAATCGATGTAACTCTTGCGCCAGGGGTTCGATTCCCTCGTATCAGATTCAGTTGCATTCACATCTCTGACTATGTACTGAGACCTAGAACTCTCGACGCGGTGGCGTGACTGAAGAGCGAGGTCTGATCGATTTGCGCGGAGCTCTATCAAAAGTTCTCTTCGAGAATCTTGCGCACATTCCAGCCGGTTCGATAAGCCCAATTGCTGCCCTGAAGCTGTCTGTTTGTTCTCATCACAGCTGGGCTCATAATTCAGGCGTATGCGACAGGGACCCCTGATTCAGAATGTAAACATACGTCAGGAGGATATCAATTATGTCCCAGAACGTCATCGTCCGTTCTTCAGTCAGCACCCCCCATTCCAGAACGGATTTCCCTTGCAAAACGTAATTCTAGTGACGATGTCAAGCCCATAAAAACAGCTACGGCTCAGACCCAGCTTTCATCGTCTTCCATAACTGCTCCTTCTCGTCTACGTCTACTACAGCAACATGTCTTCTCCCAGGATCGCCATCGTCATATATTCCATGTACGGCCACATAGCCAAGTGTAAGTCGCCCAATACCTACCATCTCGTGCAATCGATGTACTGATTCATCCTTTCTGTAGTGGCCGAGTCCGTGAAGTCCGGTATCACGAAGGCGGGCGGAAGTGTTACCATCTTCCAGTACGTCGCTGCCTTGTTCATCGAGCATCACATACATACCCCTCTATCGCGCGCCTGCGTTCTGGTCCCCGTACAATTTCCATCCTTACTCACCATGAATTTCTGCAGGATCCCCGAGACGCTCCCGCAGGAAGTCCTCAACTTGATGCACGCCCCCCCTAAACCCGACTATCCTCTCATCGACGCCAAAACGCTCGCCACCTATGACGCTTTCATCATGGGAATCCCCACTCGTTATGGTAACTTCCCCGGCCAGTGGAAAGTATGCTTTTTATTTCTTCTTCAGAGTTCTTTCGTCACGTTTGGTAATTTATGATCTCGCACAGGCTTTCTGGGACACCACTGGTGGCCTCTGGGTCAAGGGTGCCTTTGCTGGCAAGTACGCCGGCATCTTCGTTTCAACCGCGTCCCCTGGTGGAGGCCAGGAGGCGACTGCCATGAACGCCCTCTCCACCCTCTCCCATCAAGGCACCATCTTCGTTCCGCTTGGCTACTCGCAGACGTTCCCCCAGCTGACCAACCTCTCGGAGGTCCACGGTGGTGAGTGTCTGCTTCTTTCTTTCATATTTCCTTCGTTGGTCTTGTTGGTCTGTAGCAACTATTCAACTCTTCTTTGTGATCTCATGCGAAACTCGTTGCTGATGTCGACCTTTTTTTGCAGGCTCTCCCTGGGGCGCTGGTACCTTCGCCGCCGGAGACGGCTCTCGCCAGCCCACTGACCTCGAGCTCGAGATCGCCGCGATTCAGGGCAGGCTGTTCTACACGACCGTCTCCAAAGTCAAGTTCTAGATAACACTTTCGGAGATATAATCTTGGAGATGGCCGTCATTTTCAGACATGAACTCTTTCACAACGCAAAAAAAAAATATCCCTGATGTATCAATAGTGTCTGTTGTTTAGAAATTTCTTCTGCTTATGGTGGGGAGGGCTGTCATGAAATTTAAGGATCATTTCTATTATGTGTGAAGTTGAGTGAGGTGTTGTGCAAAATACATAGGCATGTAGGGATGCGGTGTACGTACGTATACGGTCTACCTTGTGTCGTAAAGGGGATAATTTCTATGTGTGCGTAGAATTTATAATCACCAATCTGAAGCGTGTGCTTGTCAGCCGTTATTCCGGGTCGCTGGTTTGCCCCGCGGTGTACTGGACAGAATTTCAATGAAGGGGTACTACATCCACAACCACTTCATGAACGTGCATATAGCCAACCAGTTGAGAAAGTGCTTTTACTATATGGTGTGTTGTTCACCGCGGTGCAGAGAAAAAGTAACAACCCAATTGTGGACCTCTTCGGATACGGGGAGTCGAACCCCGAGCTTGCGCGAAGCCGAACGAGCAGCGTTTTATGAGAGGCGCAAATGTTAGCCGTTACACCATATCCGACCACATGAGTCGATAAACGTCAATGTAATATGACCAACAATTCAGATGCAAAAGGCCATATTGAATTTCATACACTCTTTCTTCTCTAGAACTGTGTGACTAAGCACGAAATACGCAATCGCGCTGAGACGAGACAGAAAAACATACAAAAAAAGATCATGTCCGTATTCGTACAGTCGGTCGACCTCGGTATACACTAATGCGGTGTCCGGGTCCCCCACGACCGCCGCGCCTTGGGCGGTCTTCCCACATGCCACCATCGCGCACATCGAACTCGTGCTGGTCGTCGTGGCGATGAAGCCCCATCTGAGCCTCGTCCGCCGTTCCAGCCCGTGACACTGGACGATCCTCAAAAGAAACGACACGGTCGTGCCGGTGCAGCCTCCCATTGTCTGGGATCGCAGAACCCCCCTGGGACCCAGCAAGCTCGACATCCTCCTCCCGGACTGACACATCCGTATCATTATATGAATGTGAAAACGACAGGTCGAAGCCGCTGACGGATGATGGCTCCCCCCGCGACGTGAAGACGATGGACGAAATGTAGTGGTCGTCGTCGTACAGCGCCCCCGTTGTGGTCGAGAAAATCCCGACGGGCGCGCTTTGGTGCAAGTTGAGCATCAGTCGGGACATCATCGTCACTGAGATACTGGGTTTATATATATGGTTCGTCAGTAGCCGTACTTGCAGGTTACAAAAGCCAAGATGAATCCCCCTACCAACTGGCAAAAGTCGACAGGCCGCCCTTGAAGAAGCTCTCGGAAAACTGTACGGTCGGCAATATCGTAAAAAAAAAAAAACAATGAAAGCGAGACAATCAGAACGAGCAGACGTACATAAAATGTGATGATATTGGCTAGATTGCACAATGCCATGATACTAGAAAAAAATATTGTTAGAATCTGAAGAAGCAAAAGGAAGGACCATACTGACGCGAAGTAGATCGCACCATCGCGCAACACCACTGCCAAAATTGACGGAGGACCTGGTCTTGGAGGGCGCCGGTTCGAAGACGACGATGTACGCGGCCCGGGATACGTTACATAGCTCTGATAGAGCGTAAGCCCGAACAGGATGCAGTCGTAACAAAACAGGGCTTCCCACGCGGCCGCAAGATCTACATACACAGGAGCATCAGAAAATTAAAACATTGTACCGGACAAGCACGGCATACGAATTGCACTGATGAAAACGGAGCGTCATAACGTGAGACACTGAGCGAGGTTGAGGGTCAAGGAGAACCGAAGCGCACGTTATCTCCGTCAGCCCCAAGTGGCAGCCGTCACTTATCTGTGTTGACGTTGATTTTTGGGAGAACAGAGACCACTAGGGATGCTGACATCAACAACAGATCGAAGGGGCGGTTGCGGAAGGTTGTACGCACGCATGAAATACCGAGGAGCACAGCACCGCTGCACACCATGTAGGAAAGAACACGCATGCTCCGATTATACAGAGCGTAGATCCGTAAGGTGAGTAAAACTGAAGGACCCTCAGTTTGTCAATCCCGTGAAAAAAAAAAAAATAGCCGCGGGCTTACTACAAACACACACTTGTGTGGATATTAATGCAATTTGGTGGAATAAATTATATCTTCTGCATCTGTAGGAGTAGGTTGGCAGTGCTTCCGACGAGCAAGACCGGATGCAAGGACGTACATCTGAGGGATGTATGAACTACCATATGCGCTGCTGACGAGAAACTTACTCACCTTCTCATCAGAAAGAGGTATGAATGACAAGACCATGGCTACCGTATTCGCGAGAAACGCAAAATAACGGTTGAACATGAAACAAAAAGAACTGAACGTTTTGCGTTTCTGCCATATGTACTTGACTTCTTGGGCTGCAAAACAAATCGCTCAGAGATGGGTGCCGGGTGTCACATCGCAAACACAGTGTGTACCCACGGGATGTGAGAATATGGTCATAAATGAGAAATGCTGGATCGAGGACAAGCGGCCAGACGTTATTGACCTCCGAGTAATGACAGACGGATATTAAATACGCGACGTACTGAAGGCCAGAACGCGACAGTAATCACCTGCGAGTCTGACATCGCCAAAGCTCATATATCAGAACCCAAATGAGGAAGAAAAGCACACACACATCGAGCTGGTAATCGTCGCACTGTCTGACATCGCTAATCGAGTTGGAGGCGCCGGACAGGGGACGAACTGTGGATCTTGCACAAGCGGGGTAGATCAGTCGTCGAATTCTTTTTTGTCGTCGTCGCAAGGGACACTTATAACATCTGCAGATAATCGAAAGCAAGACGCTGGCGAGGGTTGGGGACGACAAAAGCGAGTACATCTTTTGGTTTTTGACTTGCCAGGCTTCTGGTAAGAATACGCCAACGTCGCGTGGATGCGGATCGACGATACTTCAGGAGAAGTCCGAGGTCGATTAGCATTTTGATCTAGGCACAGAGGTTGACAACGTTGATGCCTGCCAGTCGTCGCCGCACGCGTGGGCCTCTGTGACCAAAGCCAGACTTTGAGGCTCGAATTGGAATCTGATGGACGCCTTGCAAGCGCTTGCCTTCATCGACGCATGGCTATGGGCCCAACAGTAGGATAGAACTCCCTGAACGAAGAGAGAATGTGCGATGTAGCACAGGATAAAAGCAAAGTTAGACAGGGTCGAAGGTATCCCTCCTCGAACAGTCCGCCAGTGGGTAGCGGGGTGGGCGCTAAACGTCAAACACTTGTGTGTGATACAGTGCCGATGATGTGCAGTAGTGCGCTCACTAGCGCCATGGCGTCGCGCGGCGAGATGTTGACATGGTACAAAATCAACTACAGTGATTCATCGGTCCTTCGAATAATAACCACCGTGCTCAGTTTCTAAACGGAGACCGTACTGCATGTACCTGCGGCTTTGTTGAGGTTTTTGAAAAGCACCTCGTCGTAGTTATTGAATCGTGATGGATATATGAACTCTCAGTAGATTGTTTCAAGGGTCAAATAGATTCCATCATTGAACGTGCGCAGTGAAGGCGGAAGGTTCGTGCATATATCATTAGACGCGGACGGCACTCCCGACGGGTGCTCATGGTAAAGAGGCATCAGGTGGACATTTTGTATGAACGGCGGAAGCGTCCATCTTGACCATCTGTCATGCAAGGTTCTGCAAATCCGCGAAGGCCAACGTTAACGATAACATTGGAACAGATCGTAGTTGCGGTCAGAGCAAATCACCTCAATGAGCATTCGTCGGAATTAACACGCGAGGCGATCAGACGATACCGCACACCTCTGTGCAAGAAGACGGGGATATTAACCGATATATCGCTCCCTGGAGTTCATGCTTGAAGTTAGTGGGATCCACTGTCAACTGTCAATAGTACGCAATACGCACAAATGTTCCTCATCTCATTGCCGAATCCATCATACAAGGGAAAGCCTGCAACTCGAAATTATTGAACTCGATGAGCTGCACAACACGAACCACCTGTATTCAAACAAGCGTACAGTCATGTTACCTGTCCAGCCCTCCGAAAAGCCGCCGCGTCGACAGCGATGATGATGTGGGCCAGGATAATATTATTGGGCTCACCGAAAGGACCGGGGAGTGTTTCAAGTGCTCGATATCAATTATGGCTAGGTCAGGGCTTGCCCAATGAGCGTACGGCGCCCTATGGTGCCTTTACGCACCACGCACTACGCACTAAACGACTTCCCAACAAAGACAGCGAGAACGCGGCGGAAAAAAGGGAGGTCTCAATGGATTATCTGGCTCAATCAATCAATGAAATCCAAACGAGATGGCGCTGACCTAGTAAAATGATGAAACTAAGCCGCGACAAGTATATGGTGCACCGAGGGTAGGACTTCGACGGTGCAGATGCGGAAATACACCAGATGAAGAAGGGAAACAAAGGACATAAGAAACGGTTTGATATAACGTCAGGACAACGGTCATTTCGAGTCCGAGGAGCACGTAGTGCGTGCTCGATGCCCAGTTGCCGGACAAAAAAATAAGTAAGGTCGAGAGCTTTTTTTGCAGTCAGAAACACGATGAGGATGATTACCAAATAAGGTAATCGTCCACTCTCTGTAGCTGTAGCTGGACTCACCAAGCATGAGAATATGTATGTCTGGATAGGATGGCGAGCCAAAAGAAAATCTTCTTCGGAACATGACATGCATGAGGAGGCATGCACATGACTCGGCCTTGAGCGCAGATGTCATTGTCAGGCAGAATCTGGCAGAATCCCAGGAGCGTATAACGTGACAGCACATGCTGAAAAATGCCTGATCGACATACAGCGACAGACCCATGATGGAATTTGAAAATTTGAAGTTTGAAGCTAAGCACAGCACCTCGGAGATAGTTCTGTGAGCATGGAGATCGAGCGAGAACAGAGGGGAGCCAGGTCAACGAAGTAAGAAATGGGGACAGAGATATGAGAGCCTGTACTGTTGGTGGAATGTTATAATTATAGCGACAGTCGAATGTATAAGACGGACTCACCGAATGTATGAAAATATGTCAGTTCAACCAGTGACCAGAACAGAATACAGGCAAATGTGCGACTTGTGCGTGAAGACAATTCCAGGAATCAGTTTGACAAAACGCAGAACATCATATGCATTCGCCCAAAGACACGCACATATATGCTCTTACAACGTTCACTTCAATGAGATCTGTCCACGTTCGTGAAAGCCGCGGTCACGGTCATGCATGTCATGTCACGTTGGTGCCGAAATGATCTCGAAGGGATGGGCATAAAACCACAAACAAACACAATCCAGGAAATAACGATGAATGACAATGACAAACAGAAAGCAACAAAAAAAGTGTACAAAAATTGCTGTCGCTAGACACAAACACAATTACTAGACAATATTAGCAGATGTCAGTATTGATGACGTGCGTACACAATGTGCATCCTCCACACAGAATGGATTCTCCACACGAAATTGATCCTCCTGAACAATGCGAACGTATGAATTATCTACAGAGCCGTCCAAGGGTACTGCAACGGTGGGGGTTGGA